AAAAAAAAAAAAAAAAAAAAAGAATCACGTCCACCAAGGCTCTGGCCTGGCTCTAGGCCTGGGTAGTCCATGGTAGTTAGCGACAATACGGAGGGTGGCACCCAGGCTACCGAAGCTCCATGACTCAAGAACTCAGTACATACCTACACTGCCAATTCATAAATTCCGCAAAAAGCCAGCATTTGCCGGCTTGTCGTTAACGTCGCTATATACTGCCGCAAATTCACAATACTAGCTTTTAATTCCTGTGGTTAAGTAGCATTTTTATTTTTGGCCGGATTTTTTTTATTCGCCCGCGCGCACTAGTTTGGTGGTCTTCTGAAGATGTCATCCATGAAATTAAGACAATGTGGCCTAATCTATAAAATGAACCACTCATCAACACATTAAACATGATTTCCTTTTTGTTTACAAAATCAATGATTGTTCTTAAAGGGGTGCGTCATATATGTCTTTGCCTTCTTTAAATAGGTAGTCGGTCCGATTATAGTAGATGTCACACCTCCAACATTCAGCGGAGAAGTCTCAGTGTCTGTTGAGGATTCCTTCCTCGTGGCACGCTGGTCTAGAGATGGCTTCTCTGATGACGAGGACGGGGAAGCACTCAACATGGCATTTGCTATCGGTAAGATTTGATTTCCATCTAGAAATCGAAGGAATTTTACAAGTAATATGTATCGAAGTAAGTGTTAGTGTCAGGTTTCCCTTCCTAGACGCATGTCTTTCTTTGCTAACTCACTCACTCACTCACTCACTCACTCACTAACTCACTCACTCACTCACTCACTCACTCACACCCCACCGCATATCAGCTACTGCTGAGGCGGGCCATCATTGTTCTCCATCTGCCTCTATCTTTGCTTACAATAGAATACGATGCAATGAACGATGGTTTCCCGCTTTTCTCTCTGTATATACATGTAACATAACGCTTGACTAGTAATCTATAACCACAACATTTGCTCACTCGAGGTGGTTATAAGTCTTTGGCTATGTGTAACATCGCCAACACCAAAGTGGATAATTAACCCTGTTACCATAGCAATAGTTCAAACTGACAGTGTGAAGTGTGCACAGGTATTCACAGTATACATCGTTGGCCAATTGAAACGTTGTTATGGCTGTAACGTCATAACCTATGGAATGACCCTTTGCTGACGTCACACGTGGGAAAAATCACGTGTCCACAGCATTTGGGTCAGATAGCTGAGGAAGACTGAGTGATTCAGTCAAAAATTTCTGGTGAGTCAAATTTTGAGTTGGAGAACAGTTTAAGTTTTTTTTAATGTAATTTGCCAACTCAGATGAACTTTCATGCTGATTACCAATGGAAGTTTGTGATTGGTTCACACGGCCTGGCTTTATGATAACATATAGCGTCTACTTTTGTATAAAATTCTTCTACACGGTATTACATAGCTGGCATTTCTCGTTAAGAATGTATACAATAATCTATCACAAAAGAGTCATGACAATGAATCATATATCTATGCATGCATGGCGTAGCTATTTGATCTCATCCACCTTAACAATCAAACGAAATGTTGAAGGTTATTCAAATGTCACGTGTCATCTGGCTCAAGAAAGCTCACGTGTTCGCCTGAAGGCTCTCTCGTGCAGGTTTGTTTTGAATTTCCTTCCTATTGCAGGTCATTTACCGGGAGGAGAAGACGTTATGACATACTCAAGCCTGAACAACACAGAACGATGTCAGACTGCAGAGATCACGTGCACAGCTGTAGCCACAACAGAACTACAGGTGACTGGTTGGTTCTCACATCCTTATTAGTAAATAATCTTGTGGAAGTACTTTGTGTTGTCTGTGCCCTACTTTTGAGGGTTACACCTTTTTCAATGGTCTTAAGTATGCAAAGAAATGTATGCACATACATGGGTATGTCAAAGGCGCCTAGAATACAAACCCAATTTGCTAGAGAGCTACGTCAACTTTTGGTATTTTTAACTCATAGCGCATAATTATCGTTAGGTACAAAGTATACAAGTCACGGAAGTGGTGGATTGCTCATTCCTTGACAAAGACTGGAGTCCAATTTCTTGTGTTAGAAATTACATGTACAGTTTAAACTTGCTTCATAATAAGTCACGGTTTTCTACTGTTAATTACTTGATACTTGATTAGGATATCCATTAGTCGCACAAATTTTTGTGCGACTAATCTTCCTGGATTCCAATAACATTATACAAAACAATGTACAGAGTCACAGACTTCACAATCATATAAAAATGACATTTAGGATCTACGCCACTAGACTTCTACACAATCTTTATCCTACACATACTTACTGCTTTACAATCATTAAAATCACATTCAACTTTACAGATTCAATAAGAATCAAAAAGAATTATAACTTATTTTACATTAATATGCTTTAACTTGAGTTATAATGATTTCGTTTACAATTAGAAAATTGCTACACATACTTACAGTGGAGGCTACACGGGAACCACACCTACTATGTGTCAATCAAAGCAACAGACGCGGCCGGTCTGTCAGTCGTGGAGGTGTCTCCACCTTACGTGCACAACGTGGAACCGCCGGCACGGGGAGTCGTGGAGGACGTTAACCCGGATGTACCGCAGGACGGTTGGTTACAGGTCAGTTAATGGCATTATAAATTTGTTTGCTATACAGACCCATAAACCATTCATTATATTTGTTTCAATAGCTGAAGGTATATATTTGAACCACTTTGTTCAGACGTGGTTAGTAGCAACCTTTACTCTCAGATTCTCGCCATGCGTGGTTCATGTTCCGTGTCGCAAGCGGTCCGGGTTTGCGCTCAGGTCAGCACACGGCAGGAAAGGGACGTAAATTCGGAAACCCCGTTTAAAACATCGAGAAGAATAGTGGTGACCAAATGTGCTTGGTGAAATTTTTTATTTTTTTTTTATTTTTATTTTTTTATTTTTTTTATTTTATTTATTTGCACATTGAAACAAAAACATAATGCAATAATACAAGAATGAAGTTAAAATAGGTGCAGGAGGAGGGCAGAAGCATGGAGTGCTTGTACGAGGCCCTCCCCCTCTAAATTTAACAAGAAGAATGTAATCGATGATTTAGATTAAATCATGTACATGGAAAATAATGCATAAGAATGATCAAACAAATACGTAATAAATTAATGACAAAGAAGTAGGGTGGTGTATGAATATGATGCTACAATGATAACAATAATAATTGGTATCAGATAAAATGAGAAAGAACACTATATGAGATTACTGCAAGGGGCTTGGATGGTTTATCAGATGGTTTTTCAGAGCTCGTTTGAACGGCGCCAGGAAAAAGGAGGTAGAATTTTTTAGGGCTGGTGGTAGTTCATTCCATAGGGTGACACATTTGTATTTGACTGACATTTGGGCAAAAGATGTTCTTAGTAAGGGAATTTGAAAATGGGAACGTTGACGAGTTTCATAATTGTGAATCTGTGAACGAAAGTTAAGAAAGTCATCAAAGGTATCAGGGAGATTATGGTTTATATATTGGGCTGCGAAAAGTGCTAGTTGAAATCTATTAATGTCATAAATATTCAAAAGTCTAAGTTGTTTGAAAAGAGGTGAAGAGTGGGTATAGAAATTAGATCCAGTGGCAATGCGTAGAAATTTTTTTTGGAGGATTGATATAGGATGTAGAAAGGTTTTGTAGGCATTTCCCCAGACGATATTGCAATATGTGAGATAAGGATAGATTAGACTGTTATAGATGGTGATAAAGGTTTTGTTGCATAGGAGATGTGAAATTTTCCTTAATATCCCGGTTGTTTTTGAAATTTTATTAACTACCATAGCAATGTGGGGTTTCCAGGTTAATCGGTCATCTATTAGTATTCCTAAAAACTTAGCCTGAGATTCTTTGACAAGGATATGGTTTTTTAAGTGGATGGTGGGATTTTTCCTATTATTTGCCTTGTTTTTACTACAAAAGATCAGATAGTAAGTCTTTTTGATGTTAACTGATAGTTTGTTTGCTTCGAACCATGTAATAACTTTTTCTAGTTCTTGGTTGGCTAGTTGAATTAGAGAATCAAAATCTGCATGTGGGAGAAAGAGATTGGTATCATCAGCAAATAGAATGAAGAACATAATTTTGGATGCTTCAGCAAGGTCGTTGACATATAATAAAAACAATAGGGGCCCTAAAATCGATCCCTGGGGGACACCACAATTAATAGATTTGCATGAAGAAGAATGATCATTAAGGACAACGTACTGTTTTCTATCGGATAAATAACTGGTAAACCACTTAAGTGCGACGTCATTAATGCCATATTTGTTGAGTTTTTCAAAAGAATCGAATGGTTAACCGTATCAAAAGCCTTACTCAAATCTAAAAATATCCCAATGGTATATTCGTTATTATCTATGGCTGAAGAAATTTTATCTATTAGTTGTATAAGTGCCATTGAGGTAGAGTATCCTTTTCTAAAACCGTATTGATGTTTGTAAAGAATATCGTTTTGGTCTAGATGTTTTAAAAGTCGTTTGTATATCAGTTTTTCCAGAATTTTTCGAGATGCTAGGTAGGATTGAGATTGGGCGGTAATTACTAACTAAGGTAGAATCGTTACTTTTAAATATAGGAATCACTTTTGCAATTTTAGTTAATTTGGGAACCACTCCGTTCTGAATAGATAAAGTTAGTATATGAGTAAGAGGGCAGATGATATAAGGTAGGGCGATTTTTAGTATTTTAGTACTGAGTCCGTCGTGACCAGCAGCGGAATCCTTCAGATTTCTAACTATGTTTAAAACTTCGGCAGCTGTGGGTGGTTCAAAAGACGTTAATTGACTAATTTGCGGAGTGTTAATGTAATCAAGGGGATCTTTCGTTGTCTTAGGGATTTTACTTTCCAGGGATGGACCGACATTAACAAAAAAATCATTGAATTCTTCGCACATCTTATTTTTTTCTGTAATAACTTGAGTATCCGTTTGGATTTTATGAGGGGCTGCTTTTGGTTTATTACTACGATTTAATAATTCATTGATAACGTTCCAAGTTTGTTTCACGTTTGATGAGGCTTCTGTGAATTTCCAATGGTAGTAATTTTTTTGGCAGTTTTTAACAGATGATTTAACTTATTTTTATATACTTTGTAGGTACTCTCTGTTAGGGGGTTGGGGTTTTTAACGTATTTTCCATACAATTTGTTTTTTTCTTAATCGATTTAAGCAAACAACGGGTTAGCCATGGTTTTTTGTGGGTATGCTGGGCGATTTTGGTAGTTTTCATTGGAAATGATTTGTCATAAAGTGAGGAAAATATAGAATGAAATGAATTATAAGCCATTTCTGTATCGGATTCTTCCAAAACGGACATCCATGACGTATTTGCTAAGGATTCAAGAAATTTTGCTTTGTTCACCTCATTAATCAGTCTATAAGTATACCGAATATTATTCTTCGAAGGCTCTTCAAAACCGGATGTCAAAAATATTGGTAAGTGGTCTGATATGTCTGTTACTAAAATTCCAGCCGTTATGTCAGAATTAAGTGCGTTTGTATAAATATTATCAATTAAGGTGGCAGAGTGTGGTGTGATTCTTGTAGGCTTGTGAACAAGAGGGAAGAATGAGGAAGAGAAAAGATTATTAATGTGCTCAGTAGTGGGGGAATGTGTACTTTTTAAAAGGTCTATATTAAAGTCACCCAAAATGTAGCAGGTACTCTTTTCTTTGTTAATCTTATTCAAACATTCAGTCAATTGATCATTAAACTGCTGTATATCAGTGTTGGGAGGTCGGTATACACAACCAATAATGACTTTTCCCCCTTCAGCGCCACTTGAGGACAGTTCAATGAAGATACACTGAGTTTCTGACTCTTCAATTTCAAACTCCAAGTCATTTCTCTCAACATAGGATAAGTCATTTCTTATGAATAGGGAGACTCCCCCTCCTACCTTCTTATGTCTGCAATGGTGAATAACGTTATAATTGGGTATGTTGTAATTCTGGGCTGTATTTTCAGATAGCCAAGACTCGGTTATGCCAATTACTAAAAAACTGTGTTTTAAGGAGTATAGATATTCATTAAGCTGCTCAAAGTGGCGCGGAAGGCTCCTAGCATTCAAATGAAACATAGACAGAGAACATCTCTTGCTTGATTCACATAAGTTTACAAAAGAATCAATATTGTAGTACTGGGAAGTATTCTTGGAAGAGGAATAAAGATTATAAAGGAAATGTGTGAGCCGTAGCGATTCAGCAATGCTACATTACTTTAAAGTCATGCTTCTACTCGGTTTTGAATGAATGCTTTACCTTAACTTACCTGACCGACAAATCGTCGATGTTTCTCTACAACCAGTATTGATTGCTAGCATCCTATTCCTTATAAACATTTGTTCTTTGTTCAAAAAGTACTGGTGGACCATCTTACCTTTTTATATTTCTACATAACAGGTTGCCTGTGACTTGTTTGTTAGAAAAACTGAATCTGCAGATTTGTATTTACGGTCGGGGTATAGCTTCTAATATTCTCCTTACTTATTTAGAATATTTAGAACGTTAATTTTAGACCAGGTTTTCAATTTTGTATAATACAAGCATGCACAAACACTTTTCAGGCTGAAGATGCGGATTTCCAAGTAAACAACACCGTCCTCGCCGTCCGATGGTCTGGGTTCTCTCATGCACATCTTGACGTCAGCTATGACGTGGGGGTAGGAAGCGCACCTGGTGATGACGACATCGTGCCTTTTGTGTCTCAAGGTGTAGACGTAACCACAACAAGTATTGACGTGGATCTTGAGTTCTTAAAGGTGAGTTAGTCTTGCAGTCTTTCTTAAGGTGATTATCATTTATGATCGGCTTTCCAATTTACCTAAGAGTACATCCAGAATTAGGAAAAAAATAAGACAAAACGTTTTAGATATTAACCTCATGAGCATTTTTTTATTGTTTGTTTGTTTCGCATAACCGGTAAACCGCCTTTAGACGTAACACACCAGTTTTGTACATGTACGTACATGTAAAAGCTGCGTAAGACCGGGCTACAAGGTTTTAATCTCTCATACCGGGAAGGTCCCCTACTCTTTTCGATAAGTGCGGTGGGTTCTTTAACGTTCACGGGGCGTGGCTCTCCTCCAACACGGGGGATCCGATCCTATCCGAGGGACGTCCCCAACCGACGCTAGTTACTCATTTCCACCTGAGTGAAGAGAGGAAAGTCGTGTCAAGTGCCTTTCCCAAGGGCATAAGGTCGGTGACATAGGCAGGGTTCGAACCCGCGACCTCTTGGAATTGGGTGTGAGTCGAACGCGCTACCGACTGCGCCACACGACCCCATTTTGGTATCATTTTTATGGGTTCACCACACCACGAAGTGGTGGTGAACCCATATTGCTTTTTCTGATGTTTATTCTCCTCCTTCTTCTCCTTCTTCTCCTGCCATTTTTTAAATGGATTCAGCTTCTTCATTTTAGGGCCCGAGGTCCTGAAATTTGGTATGGAGGTACAGTGGGCAAATACCCCTAGGCGTTTTTTAAATTATTGTGATACAGGCTTTTAGAATGGTTTTATTTGAGTTTTTTGGCTGTGTTATAGCAAATGTATTACTGTGTTAGTGTGTGCCTTGTTTACCACGTTTGGGCATGAGTCATCACAATGGAATGCAGGGCATCAACCAATAGGCATGCAGCTTTCCTCTATTCTTCTTGCTGATTGGCTGTTGGGATTTAACTTGATTAACAGACTGCACAGAGCATTTCCACCTGCACAGAGCATTTCTTGCTGATTGGCTGTTGGGATTTAACTTGATTAACACCTGCACAGAGCATTTCCATACTGACAGTATGCCTGTATTCAAGTGTTTTGGTAGGGATTTCAAGCTTTCCTGCTCCAGCATTGGAATTCGAGGCATGGACGTTTTTTTTTTATTTATTTTGAAAATCAACAGTTTGCATTATGCAATTAAAAATCCTAACCAATAAAGTAGGGAATAGCTATCCAACTGTTGTTTTAGTTGTATTTTACTTCATATTATAGTTATATCAATGTAAATCATTGTTTTTCCTTGTGTTTCTCATTCTTTCCCTGCCATGTCGTAAAATGTGGTGAACCCATCGCTGTATTTGCTCCAAAGCAAATATTGGCCTTTCTAGTTAATTTCTATATTTTTCAGAAGTACTATATCTCAGTGAAAGCCAGAACTGATGTGGGTGAGGTAATGGTCAGTTCTGACGGCATCACAGTTCTACCACAGGGCCTGCTAGAAGGGTCATCGGTCAATGATGGCTTACCCTGTGAGCACAGTAAGTATTTTCTTGCTTGAACGTGTGTGTGTAGCGATGTAGAAACACCCCTGATAATAAGAAGACGGCCTAGGACGCAAGCATGCCGTTTGGGCATACTTGGCCAGCATAAGGAGGTGTTTTCAGAAAATAAAACTTCATTATTGTATCCAACAGTGTCTTGGCTTTATTTCATCTGTACGGGAAATATGTCTGAAGTTAACCTGACTGTACTGATAATCCAACTTTTATTTTAACTATGTTACATATAATTATTTAGGCAGCAATGATATAGAGGCTTACTGATAATCCAACGCTTATTTCTATGATATTTTGTTCTTTGCAGACGAGTCAGCTGGCAGCCATCAAGTACAGGCGAGTTTTAATTTTTTTTTAAATTTTATTATCATAGGTGGAGTGAGCCAGAACGCCATCTAAATGAACATATTTTGTAAACTTTTAAAAGTCTAGATGCATTCCTAGCAATTTATGGTGCATCCTATTTGGGTTCAATCATAAAGTTTCGCGCGCTGTTGAAATGCCGTAGTAATATCAAGAATACAGTCATATTAATAGAGTACACTCTAAATTTTGTACGATTTTAATCCATTTCGAATTGTTTTATTTTACATTGAAGTTCAAGCATGCCGCTGCCAGCCACAGGAATAGGGCAAAGATATTTGCAATGTGGTGAAAACTTCTAGAATCTACTCCAAATATCCAAAGTTTAAGTCGAACAGCACGAAATTCCTTTTCAATACTACTGTCGCGGGAAGGGTGTTTGAGCTTGTGGATTTAAACGGCACTGCATTGACTCCTTTTTTCCCAAATATAGACCATCCGGTCGGCATGCTACAACGAATCCCCGTATCAAGCCTCCACGACGACCGTGGCTGCCTATTGGTCGATATCTGACCAATCACGTCCGTTTGTCACCAATATAAATTGGAAAATCGAACAGGAAATAACAAACCAAGATGGCGACTCGACGTGGGTCATTGTGCGTGACTTTGTCGACCTCGGCATGGCGGAAAGCGGCGTGGAGACGGGTCTGTACCTGGTACCGGGCGGACATTACAGATCTGTTGTGGAGTTCTGTCATCAGGCAGCGTGTTTCCATCCAGGTACTTGTGCAAAATCATAATCAGCTGGCACGATTCTATGCTGATCTGCCACATGGATATTGCTTTCAACCCTCATATTCGCTAAATGTTGCTGAAAAGGCAACAATAAAAGGTTAATAGTATCGTCTTATCTGCTCAGCGGAGGGTTTTTTGGGGGGATGAAATTTGCCGTACTTTTTTCTCACCATTGTCGATTTTCTGGACAGACACATACATATTAACTACAATCACCCATACGACATAACAATTACTAAAACGTAATTCTGAAAATCTATTGCATCACTATTGAAAACTATCAATGGTGAAAAAACTGCATTTTGTATCAAATCACACAAGTGCAAATGTGCATTAAAAACGAATTTTAAAGCATGTTAAAAAATCAGTCAAATTACTTAATCTAGAATGATCCCTCTTTTACAAACTAGTTTACAGTCCAGGGTTTTGGGTCGTGCCAGAACCACCATATGTGGGAGATTTGGACGTGACCATTACATCTCCGGAAATGGGGGTGGCGCGACTCTACGTCACGTTCGAAAAGTTCCTGGATCCACATCTCTACAGCGATGCGGTTATGGATTTCTACGAGTGGGCGATTACAGAGGACTCTCAGAACGGACAACTTCTCACAGATTGGACTACTGTAGTTCCTACAACGTCTACCAGCAGGACAGTGAGTTGGTACTCATGTATTGTGTAGTACTAGTAAAAGTAGTAGTAGTAGTAGTAGTAGTAGTAGTGGTAGTAGTAGTAGTAGTAGTAATGCTAGTAGTAGTACTAATAGTAGTGGTAGTAACAGTAGTAGTTGTAGTAGTAATAGGAGTAGTAGAAGTAATAGTGGTAGTAGCAGTAGAAGTAGCCGTAGTAGAAGTAGTAGTAGTAGTAGTAGTAGTAGTAGTAGTAGTAGTAGTAGTAGTAGTAGTAGTAGTAGTTGTGGTAGTAGTTGTTGATGTAGTAGTAGCACTGATAGTATTAATAGTCCCTGACACGAGTATGACACACCACGATTCCAGGCGACTCTTGTGTTTTCTTCACAAATTCCATCCTGGTTTAATGACCTTTGTTACATGAAACAACAGTGACTATCACAAATTGATTTAAATGTATATAATCTTTTTGGCCTCACAATCCATGTCGTCTAGGTCCTTGGGTGCTATATGAATTTTTGGGAGAGTCATCATGTTAACCTCCATTTCATTAAAATCTACGCTACAATACGCATGTAATTTCTTTAATGACGACAAATTTAGTCTTCGATGACGTTTTCATCGCATTACCATTATCTATTGTCTTTTCAGATATCGTTCATTGTTCCCTCGGTAAGGCTCGAGGTAACGAAATGTTTGCAGCTGGCGGTGCGCGGTCACACCCGCACCGGGATGACATCTCTGGTCGCACGGGAAATCCTGGAGTGTGAAACAACAGCCGAAAACCCAGGATACTCCAATCCGATCGTCATTGATGCCGTTGGTAAGTATAAATGGACAACTGTTCACCAAATGACCACACCAAAAAAAGATACAGGGATAAAAATACAGAAAAATCGGATAATTCTATTAATTTACCACAGTTTATAGTTCAAAACATTACGTGTTTATTATTATTACTTTTTTGTGAACCTTTGTGTAAAATTTAAAGCTGACGTCACAAACAGTGAACTTATAATTTGATCAACATACAAAATTTACAAAGAGAAGATTTACTCTCTAGTAGTGCAATGTTAAAAAAAAAAGAAAAATAGCGATTTACTCTCTAGTAGAGCAATGTTAAAAAAAGAAAAATAGCAAATATTGTCCATGTCATTTTATTCTTAAAGCTTTGCGTTTAATATATTTGTTATACTAAGTTATGTATCCAAATCAACTACAAAATCTACACAATAGTGCTACGATTCAATTGTCTTTCTAAAGAAACTAATTAAAAGTAATTTCCAGGAAACGTGACTATCGACAAAAATGCAGCCTGGAATCAGCCTGACGTAGAGTATACGTCATCAACAGGCAGCATCTCTGCAGTCTGGCCCACATTACGTCATCACCAGTATGAGTGGGCTGTTATTGACGACACTGATGGAGAAAGCCTAGACACGATGGCTGGAAAACATCTGTCTATCTCCTACCCGTGTAAACATGAAAACGCTATTGCCTGTGGCTACACTGACAAGGTAGGGAGACCTTTATTGCTACCTTCAATCCCTATCACATATAGCCCAAAACGGCCTTTCGAACACTGCCAAACGTCCGCCCTTCCACGGTTAGGGGTAGGTCGACAGAAAGACTGGCTGTGGTTGCCTGGTACGGTGTCCGTCAAGATCGTCTACTGTTCGTTTGCGCCATCCGAATTAAAAAGAATCCGGTAATGGACATAATATTCTGTCAGGTTACTAGTAGTTCGTGGATAGCTGGTTTTCGGGAGTATGTCAACATGTTCAGTGCTATGCCCCTGTCACACATTCACAACTGTTTGGGAGCACTCTGACCAGATACAGTCCACGCCTACACGCATTTAGGGATTGAAACGATCTTGAGTTCAAGTAGAGACGAATTTGATTCCGGAACATACCCCAAACACTGCTGCCTCCAGATATTTGGTGTTTTTATGGCTTACAGCTGGAAACCAGTCAACTATGATTTAACCTCCCGAAAACCCACTAATGTTTAAAACAATCGGCTGGCAGAGCCGAAGTGTAGCTGAACTCGTCGAACACCAGCCGACCTACCCGACTTTGCGCCGACCTACTACTAGCAATGGTTGTGTACGGAAGAACAAATTCGTGAATATGTTAGAGGGGCTTTAGTTTAGAGTTAGTGGGTCAAATGTAAATTAAATTAAATTTAACTCAAATTCAATTCAATTAAACTCCTGTACTTCAGTCCACCTCGGTTCTTAATGTGTGACAGGGGCTTTAATGAGTTCTTTTTTGAGTTCTGAAATCATCACTTTTTTTTATTCCTGACACTTATCGAACAATTCTGTAATTTCACTGAAGAAACATTAGTAAGAGATTTACTATTGCCGTGATAGTTTATACAAGACAACGCCTACTTAGGGTGTGAACCTGGCTTCATTTTATAGTAAATAACGGAATACCCCCATTCAAGGAATATCAAACAGTTGAGGGAGTTTCTCTGGAGCATGGTAAACGTTACATCATGTGCGTCCACGCCAATGAGACCAGTAGACAGTTCGAGACCTGGACGGACACATACCCCGAGGTGGCCGCCTGTAGCAGCGGGGTGACCGTGGACACTTCACCTCCTGTACCCGGGGAAGTCTGGATAGGAACAAGCAGGCAAAGGGGTTATCAGGTAAGCTGAAAACAATCTATTATCCTGATGAGTGGATACAACACCAGTAAGTGATATGTGCGTGTAAAAGGACCAATCAGAAATAACAAACATATTTCACGTTCAACTTAAAAACGCACCTTTTAATTAGCACTTGAGTGTATAACAAGCTAAGACAACAAAAAAGACAAAATCTCATTGAACAACAATGATGTTTAGAATCTCCGCCATATACAAATCAAACGCTTTATACAAACCGCCCATTTTGATGTAAACGGGAATGAGTAAACGGAAATGCACGATAGTAATGAGGAAAAACTCGACCTTATAAGTACATTTAATAAAATGTTAAAGGATTTTATATAATCCCTGATTTATTACCAAATCAGTACTGTTGTTCAAAATTCATACTGTCATCTTTTTTGTATCTACAGACGTCCACATCCGAGATGTACATCGAGTGGGAACACTTTGTGGATGTGGAAGAACACGGATTAGCGCTGCACCACAGTGGGATTCAACATTATAATTACGCTCTAGGTGAGCACAAATAAAATTGGTATTGTTTAGCGCTTGTGTGTGTGTGTGTGCGTGTGTGTGTGTGTGTTTGTGTGTGGTGTGAGTGCAAGCGTGTGTTTGCGTGTGCCCGTGTGTGTGTGTGTGTGTGTGTGTGTGTTTGTCGGATATTTGTTAATTATATATGTAATTCATACTGTTGTCTGGATGAAATATACTGTTTTCTATGTTTTTTCTCCCCCTCGTTCCTTTTTTTGTATATCTTTTTTTAATTTTTTATATATCTTTTAAAAATTTTATCTCAAAGATTTGGCATGATGGTATTTGAATTTTTTTCTTCTGTATCTCAGCAAGGCCGGCCGTTTATGTGTTGTCGTTCAACACGCGATGTATACTTTACAAAATTTTGTAAGAATAAGTATTGAACACTGTTTTTTTTTTTACTTTCACGCGTTGATAGAAACATATTCCACATTTAAATGTTAAATAACATACATTTTGTTTATTATGCTCATCATGATAATGTATTTTTTAGGTACATCATCCGGTGGTACAGACATCCAGACATGGACCGATGTGGGGTATACAGACCACGTACTTCTTCACGGACTGATCCTGCAGGACGGCTGGTCGTACTACGCCACTGTGAAAGGTAACAACATCCCGAAATAAAAAAGCTGTCTTTATGATTTTCAAACAGACCAAACGTCTTACTCTACACGTCATATACACATGTACAGAAATCGCCGACAAGAATCGAATGCTGAATTTTGCACGGCACATGAACTACTCTCACCATCTTTCACTTCTTATTTGAATGCCCTAAGTATTTACAACACAGAACGAACTTTTTGAACAAGCTTACAAACTTAATTGGACACCTGTTTGATCTAAAACATCTATGACAATGTAAAACTCTCCCTTGTACTAAAAGTCACTGCTGACTGAAATTCCAAAATAATGATACTTACACAAATTTATATCCAGCAAACCCAATGCTTCTAACTCTTTTGGACTGAGAATCTCTCCGCGGAAAAAATATAGTAGTCCTTTTCTGATTAATATGATAATCCCATAGGTGGGGTTGGGGACGTTGGCACACCTTTTGCGCTTTTCTCTTACATGTTTGTATTTATTTATTTATTTATTTATTCATACATATATATCTATTGTTAAGTGACGCTGGCAAATAAGTTGGCCAACTTGAGTGCAGCGCCACTTTCTCTTGTGAATAAAATAAAAACTACTATCACAAGAATGCCCTACTATCGTAAGACGAATGTGATTGTGTGACCTAAGTTTTTAAAATACATCAGGCTGTATACATGTCTGTTTCTTTGTAGCACGATAATTGTTGTTTTTTTACATATTTTTGTTAGCATACGACTTTGTGGGTCTATCAGCTGTAGCAGTGTCACAGAGAGTGACGATAGACACCACTCCGCCACTGAAGGAAGATGTGAACATTGACGTGGGGGGAACTTTTCATTACTCCAAAGAAGCCGTTTCAGCAAGGTATATACATGAATACATAAATTTTTTGTGTCTTACAGTCATGTATATATACTGGAAACTTTTCTCATGCAACCCTGCCTACTTCTTAGTATACCAGAAGATTTCGTACATGTGAACTTGCTGATGTCATTATTTTTCGGGAATAACTATTAAAATGTTTATTCTCTAAACTATTTTTGCAACCTTTAAGGAACAAAGATAATGTATGAACGCATCTGTGTTTCTTGTATGTTAGTAACAAGTTCCGACCTTACTATCTGTATCCATCAGCTGGGAAGGATTGTTTAACGACCTTCAGAGTGGAGTCTCATTTTACGAGTGGGCCGTCGGTTCCCGGCCGGGACATGCCGACATAGCTCCGTTCAGCAGAACTGCGGACACCATGGCAAGTACGGACCCGAACAGACCTCTGTCTCTGCATGAGGGACACACGTACTATGTCTCTGTCAAGGTGAGTCACGAGAAATAAGATAACCTTATTCTACATTATGAAATACATTGTAAATACAATCTGGTCACCATCGTGAGCAATAATATCAATGATCATAAATTCATTTTAAAAGTGAACGGTACTATTTTTGTTACATGAATTTTTCTGTGTGTCATGAAACAACGATTCCTGAACAATCTGTCCTATGTTGGTATTGTCGTTCTGTTCCACGCAGGCGTACAATATGGTAGGTTTGGTCGCTATGGCAACATCGTCAGCCGTTACCGTGGAGACGACCCCGCCCACCATGGGGAACGTCTATGACGGCAGGAGAAAAGATGTCGCCAGCGACGTTGATTACCAACCGGATGTGACGTCAATACATGCTCACTGGGACGGTTTCCATGACCCGCACACATCCATCATCAGCTACAGCTGGAGTGTTGGAACATGTCCCGAATGTAGCAACATTCTCCAGCCTCAAAATGTCGGCATTCTTACAGGTGTGGGGCATTGTTCAGTTCGAACGGACTCCACCAGTAGATAAGATACCGAGGCAGTTTGCATATATGTGCCTCTTTGACAGGGTTTGAACCTGAAAAGGTGTGAAATCTGAAAAATAGTTTTTCGAACCCTTTTCTAATCTAATTGCTAATTCTCGTATAATAGTATTACTATTTCCTTGACAAATTACTCTCATCGTGATGTTGTAGAACATCAAGAATGTGAAATAGAACCCCGTTCCTTATTTTAACTCTTTTCTGACCAGTATTGCTTCTACGTTATATAGATTCTAACCTACTGCTTTACTAGTATGTATTATGTTAATAAGGGGTCACGTGATCATCCATGAGGTTGTCCATCGACTCGCCATGTTCGCCACACTGTGGTGATATTAAAGCCTTCCTGGTTCATTTGCATACTTGGCTCCTGTTCAGATACATGCGTATCTGGCCAATTCATGACGCTGCCTAATGCTTAGGTCACATTTCCGGCTGTTTTCATAAACGAAAATCAACAATTCTTATCAGGAATATACCCAAATTGTACTCATGATTATCTTTTAAACGTTTTATTTGTGCTCGGCTGCCTTTAGTATCATACCTTTCGCTCCATACGACTGCCCGGCCGGGCCCCGGTTTGGAAATTTGACCATTAGTAAAAGAACCCCTTGTAACAACTCTCTTTATTCATCATGAACCTTACAGAAGCCAGTGTTGACGGTTTGACGTTGTTTCCCGGAAAGACGTATTACGTCACGGTTACTGCCTGTAATGCCGCTGACCTTTGTACCAGTGTGACGTCAGACGGAGTCATCCCTGACACCTCCCCACCTGTGTCCGGCAGGGTCATGGACGGGGCGTTAGGAAGTGACGTCAACTATCAGGCTACAAGGTAGGATTAAAAGTTTCTTTTACGTAAAAATGAAACAATCTGTTTTGGTAATAAACCCTTTACACGTTTGTTTACCGACTCTTCGTCCTTCATCTGTTTCTCCACCCAACAGGTAGGTGGAACGTGCTGCGCCTGCGCAAAACTACTGTTTCTGTTGGATGTTGTAACAACGTTCCATCGGAATATTGTCCATTGAATATATATTCTGTCAAAATACTTGAAAACTATAGACAGGTTGCCATTCTTGAATACGATAACATGAACTTACACGATACGTTTTGTGAAATCCACGTACGTTTTGGATTTCGCGCAGTACCTTTGGTCCACGTTGTTGGTTCATCTCATCCTCTCACGCTTTACGTAAAGGAAACGTGACATATTGAGAGGAGAAAAACGTTATCTGAGATGTAATTCTGAACGATTTTTTTTCAAAATCTAAAATGCTACTTTTGTAAGGCTGTAGGCTCTAAGGCTCTGCCAGACTAACACGACTAGCATAGTGAATATAGTGTCACATAAATACCTATATATGAGCTAAAGGTTACTTCATGTGTCTGATTATTTTCAGCAACACACTGGCGGCTCATTGGTATGGTTTCACCGACCCTCATTCTGGACTGTCCCATTATGAGTGGAGGGCGGGGACTACGAAAGGTGGCGAAGACATCCTGAGCGTGAGAAAGGTGTGTTTATGGAGTCGATGTGCATACTCGTATCAGGTTAGATCGTAATGGAATGTACTTTTAATGGGAACATCTTATCTATGTTACAGTCTAACGTTACATATCATAGTCCTAAAGACGTTCTTTCCCATCGCATATTGTAGTTATATTAAAAAAGGAATTTTTTTACTTACATAAATGGTAGTATATTAGCTATTGTACAGTCTAAGGCAAGTGTGAGATAATGATAGAAATGTACGAAATAAATCAATTTTTCACTTCTGGTGGAGCAATAAAGCGTGGAATTTAGATAACTGTGTCGAAACCTTAAAAAACGCTTCTTAAAATTGTATAATTGTCTTTAGGTAGGCTGCATATTAAGCCTAAGTGTCGTATAAAATAAACGCATAAAGAAGACATTTCTAAAGAGGAAGCATCCAAACAACCAAGTACCTGCAATTGTTTTTGACCACAGCAAGAGTTTTAAATATGTTTGGCCCTATAGTGTTATGTTATGTTATGTTATGTTATGTAACGTTATGTTATGTTTTGTTATGTTCTGTTCTGTTATGTTATGTTATGTTATGTACATAAAATTTTGACGCAAAATTTCCTTGCCCCCAGTTGCATCTTACTGATGTTGCCATAGCAACGAATGTGTCCCTACCCGAGAACACAGCTGTTTACGTCACAGTAACTGCCTACAATCGTGTTGGTCTGGCTGTCGAAACAACATCCAATGGTGAGACTCAATAACATTCATAGAGCACGTTGAAAGATTCTATATTATAGAATTGGAATTAACGTTACGATTGTAGAATTACCTAGAAGAACCTAGCCATGAGATTATTGGTTTAAAATCTTTAAAATGTTACCTAAAATTCTGTCATTACAAAACTTCATATGAAACACATCGGTACTCTAATGACAGTATGGTTTATTAAGGCAGATACATGTAGAAGAGCAGAATATATAGAAATTATAATAACATTTGTGTGGTCAAGTTTAGTTTAAACGACCTCTGACCTAGGCAGGAATAACCGACCTTGACCGATCAATGGCTTTGAATAACGGACGACGATTTTGATTTGTTCTCTACGGTTTTGTTTGTCTTTAGGTAATCTCATGTATTTATTTTTGTATAATTTGGTTACCTGCGTTATTTATGTTTTACATACAATTCTCTGTTATTTCTGTTTAAGTATTAACTTATGTTTTATTATTTCTGTAAACTGGGCCCCACTAAAAATTAACTTGTCAAAGCTGAGTGGGCTACCCAGGTGTGTTAAAATGTAATAAATAAAAAAAAATAAATCTTTCTTTTGAATATTTTAGGTTTCATTGTGGACACATCAGCGCCGACTGTTACATCTCCTGCCCGGGTTGACCAGACCCACGGGTCCGGGGTGGAAGGCACTCAGATCTGGCGTTCTGCTGTGAGGGTCACATGGGGGTATGGAGATCCTGAGAGTTTGATCGTGGAGCAGCATCTGTCTCTACATAACCATCACGGAGCAGAGGTTGCTAATGTGAAGGTAGGGCATCATGGAACATACCTTAAAGCAGTTGACAAGAGCTCGAAGCATAGGCTTTTTAGATTTAAAACAATATGTGCGCTTCATAAGTACTGATGTTTTAGTCCAAAATCTTAGGTATTACCTGGAAACTTTGCATGTCAAAAGAGTCAACAGCCACACCAATGGACATAATCACATGATGGTGACCATGTGTTAGTCTTAAACATATCAAATAATGGCTATTAACCGCCATAATATATTTTCATTTCATTTCATTGAAATTGCAACAGTGCAATACATTCGGAACAGAGGCAGCTGTTGCTGGTATTGTGTCCCGCACATAGAAACGAATACTGGACAGACAATACTCATTTTCACTTGAGTCTAGTGGGGAAAATCGTGTTAAGTGCCTTTCCCAAGGGCACAAGATCGGTGGCATGTCAGGACTCGAACCCGGGACCTCTTGATTCCGAGTCGCGCACTCTGCCATTGCGCCACACGACCCCACAAACTGTCTGTATTTTAACAGGCAACACTTGCCTGTATTTTAACAGGCAAGTATCGCATAGACAAGATTGCTATTACGAACTTATCACGGGTTAATGTGTTCTGTTTAAAAAATATATTTCATTGAAAAGGTTAAGATGTGAAGAAAGGATTTTATATTCGCTTATTCATAGGTGACCGGAAGTGAACAGACGTACACATTCACACACCTCGCACTGGACGACGGGAATGAATACGTTGCCATGGTGACGGGATGTAACGGCGCCAGTCTGTGCACTCAACAGTCTACTGCGCCTATTCTGGTAGGCATTCATGCAATAATATATATATATATATGTATAGAAAATATAGTCATGTAAAAAACTGAAATTACATTAAAAAATATTTAGATTATCATGAAAGTTCATCTGTGTTGGTAGTAATCATAGTAAAACGTTAAACTTTATTCCAACACACTATTTACAGGGATCAAATTTTCAGCGACTACTGTCGCCTTCATCAGGATAATTAATGACCAATCACTTCACAACGTGATCTCGCGAGAGTTACGGTTTACAAACACGTGACTTCACTCACACGAGACTTTACTGATACGTGACGTAAGCAATTGATCAAAAGTGCCAGGGACCACCATCTCTATTAAGTGAAGGCTGAAGTGCTCTGATATATATAGCCTCCTTAATGCCTCTTAGCCTCCTTAATGCCTCTTAGCCTCCCCTTCCTCGGCACTCTCACTACGATCCAAGACGACGGTTCACTACGCCTGACCATTTACCGGAAACCTACACACACAGACCAGTACCTCAACTTCAGATCCAACCATCCTCTTGAACACAAGCTTGCAGTCGTTAAGACCTTGTTTCACAGAGCTGACTCCATCATCACAGATCCACATGACAGGGACACAGAGAAACAACATATACAGCATGCTCTCAAGGACTGTGGGTACCCTAAATGGGCCATAGACATGGCGACTGCACCGAAACCCACCCAACAGAACAACAGAAACCCGGCAACAAAACAGAAGGACAAAGGCCGCATCACTCTCCCGTACATCAAGACCGTCTCAGAACCCCTGCGCAGAATCTTCGCTTCACACGGTATCTCCACCTCCTTTAAACCCACCAACACACTGAAACAGCTTCTCGTAGCACCGAAGGACAAAACACCCAAAGAAGAGAAGTGTGGCGTAGTGTACTGTATTCCATGTCAGGGAACCACGAGGCAGGGGACCTGCGAAGAATCGTACATTGGCGAGACAGAACGCTCACTAAGGACCAGATTTCTTGAACACAAACGCCCCAGCTCACTGTCATCTGAAGTTTCTCAACACATCCACATCGAATCACCGGGCCACACAGTCTCTCTGGACAAAGTTAGAATACTGGACACTGAACAGGACTACTTGCTAAGAGGCATTAAGGAGGCTATATATATCAGAGCACTTCAGCCTTCACTTAATAGAGATGGTGGACGATATAAACTCCCTGGCACTTTTGATCAATTGCTTACGTCACGTATCAGTAAAGTCTCGTGTGAGTGAAGTCACGTGTTTGTAAACCGTAACTCTCGCGAGATCACGTTGTGAAGTGATTGGTCATTAATTATCCTGATAAAGGCGACAGTAGTCGCTGAAAATTTGATCCCTGTAAATAGTGTGTTGGAATAAAGTTTAACGTTTTACTAAAAAAAAATATTTAGGTTTCTGTAGGCGTTTTCAAAACAACTAAATAGCTCAGTTCTGCATGCCGGCATCGGATAAATCAGTCGTTTGCGCACGTGTGACTTTGCGTGGCCCAAACCAACCCCTGCCTTCCTGCCATTATGTTCACCGAAGAAAAACATATTGTTTTTGCCCCATTTTTCTTCTTCTGTTCCAAACACTAACCTCTGACCTGGCCAATTGCCTCTTTTGTTGACGTCTGTCACCATAGTAACTGGTGTTGGGTTACATAATGTTGCATTTTCATAGTAGGCATTTAGACTCCTGTCACCATATACATGTATGTGAATGTGTTTGAGTAAGAATTAACAGAGCAGACTATATTCAAAGGTAAACATTATGCATTTGCTTTGCGAATGTTACTTTTCTAGTTATGGTTTAAAGGGGAGGTCCAATACTTTCAGTTTTGGGGCCTTTCTACCCAAAATCCTATTTGTAAATGGTGATTTATTGGTTTCTGCCAACCCCGCACATATTTGCCGTGATATCTGACCCGCTCGATGTTTCGAGGCTAGCGCCAGATTGTCCGCTGGGCGGCGCTGCGACTGAATCTGTGACGTAAAAGGTTTCATTGGAACAGAGTTAGTACACAAGAAGAGCTTCCACTGGCGGGTGTGTTCAGACCATTTCGAGCCTGGATGCTTCACGCGAACGTCAGTCTCAATTCCTTTCTGTTGGGCGTATGGGCGGTTGATATGAATAAATCCGTCAAAGGGTCGAGTAAGTTGCAATGTAAACAAACTGCGGTATTCGCGGTACCGACCTGTTAGATACAGGCTCCTGCATATCCTGCACGCCCTGCCGGATCAGGTCCCACCGAAAAATCAGCAACGTTCGGAGGTTTGCCGGGTGCAGAATCACATCGAAGTCAGGGTGGTTTCTAATGCATGGGTGGTCTGTACCGACGTTCTTTTCAGTGTCTGTCAGCTCTGGCAGGTCGTGACAACAAACACTCTCCCGTACAGAGGGCATTTCCAGGCAGTTTCTATTGTCTTCGTTTCCACACCGGCACCAATCCCGGTTCTCCAACCCTCTGTCTCCACATCACCTCCATCCCAAACGTTCTCATCGCCTGGATCGGGGTCAGAGTCACCACTACTGTCCGTCTGTGGCTAAAAACGGAAGGGTTGCACGCCCGCCATTGTTGTTTACGCTAGTAGCAGAATGAAACCTTTTACGTCACAGATCCAGTCGCAGCGCCGCCTAGCGGACAATCTGGCGCTAGCCGCGAAACATCGAGCATGTCAGATATCACGGCAAATATGTGCGGGGTTGGCAGAAACCAGTAAATCACCATTTACAAATAGGATTTTGGGTAGAAAGGCCCCAAAACTGAAAGTATTGGACCTCCCCTTTAATTTCACCCGGTCTTCCATTAAGCTTATTTGCCTTTACTTTCTACCATTTTATCTATGTCGTTTCTAGATCGACTCCTCCCCCCCTGTGATTGGCATGTTTGCAGTCCACACGGCACACGCAGCAAGACTCACCAGGCACAGGGACGGCTGGATGACGTGGACCAATCAGGGATCACCTCAGTTGAATCTCTCTTGGATCGGATTCAGTGACTACCACTGTGGGATAGAGAGTATAGCCGTGACTGTGGGGGAATCATATGGTGGCATGGAATATATGGAGGTATATTATAGGTAGTTTTCTTGGATACAACTTCATTTGATGCACCAAACTCCAAACGGCAGCATTTACGATGTATAAAATTAGATATTTCTTTACACGTTTCTTTGCACCGATAAATCAACATTTTGTACTTTTTAAAATCTAATTTTTGCATGCCTAATATTGCCGTCAAGTATGTTTTGTTAATGTAATGTTAATTCTACGTTGTCTTTTACTCATAAGGCATCCAATGCAGTTTTCAGGACTTGGGATCCCGATTTTTCAAAGTCAATATTCTAATCGTTAATCTACATACTGAGTTGAAACGACACTAACCCAATGTATATTGACCCTCATGGATAAACAGTTTCTAAACTTCTGGCGGAAAATTGGTTACTGGAATGGCCTTGGCTGATTTTTAGGGTACCACCCATAAAATAAAGGACTGGGGGCTTGTTTCTGCAGTTTTAAGATTGCCTTAATTGGAATATTTCTAGTTTTTCTGCTCTGAAATAGCATCGGATGCCTTTAAAATGCTTTTAGTGCAGTTAGCATCTGATGGTAAATCGTGATATGCTACGATTCAACTCCTATGTGATACAGAATGGTGAACCGACGGTCCTCGAAGGGAACCTACTGCTGCCTGGTAACTGTACCCCTGACGATGAGGGGTGTGTACATGGAGGGATCGTGCCGCTGTCCAGGGAACTCAGCCTGTACTCTACCATATACATCTCTCTATGGGCTGTCAACGGGGTTAGTATTTACTGTGCATTTTAAGTAATATGTGAACATTGATGGGATAGATAAATAACTAAAACACACAAGTTGTTCATTTTTTTACGTGGGGGGGCGAAAAGAAATAATTGGCGACTTACTCATTTGAGATAGATAGAATCCTTATGTTTCAAACGATATTTTTCAATGCAATTTACGTAGGTCATTTTCATACAAAGCCTTGCAAATTGGATGCAGTAAAATCGCGTACGCCAGACCTTACCCGATCGTTTATTTGGTCATTATTGCTCTTGCAGTTATGATCAGGTACCTTTATGTATACGAGTATACAGAAGCTAGAGTCTTGATCTTTGTTTTGAATCAAACTTAAGTTTGATAAACTTGGATTAAGTTCTTGATCTTTGTTGCATCAGTCAGAACTGGATGCAAAGTAAACCGGTCGCGATGCGTTCAGACTTAAGTGGCGATGCGCAAGCAACCTCTTGCGGGTGGTTTCAGATTCAGCCAATTTCAATGTGACTTGGAGCGTTTAGACGGGTCCAAAGAATACTTATGGGTAGCTTTGGTTCTGAATACGATTTGCCAGGCTAAGTATGAATAGGCTGTTGTTACCTCAGGGCAATTCTGACCGGTTCACATTGCATTGCAGCACAGGTCACACTGCCACAGATGCATACAGATACGTCGGCTGAATAAAAGACCTGGTTGTGTAAAAAGAGTCTCTTTACTCAGTGTCTTACTAACCTGATGAAACTATCCACGTATCTACCACGTACTTCACGTCCAGTAATGAGTATTTGCATTCCTATGATATATCCTGTCCATTTTGCAGGTTGGTTTAAGAAGCCGCACTGCGCACTCCGCCTTCACTGTGGTTCCAGCAGGTGGCTCCACCAGCGGGAGTCTGCAGCTGGTCCGGCGGTGTGACGCCCACTCCTGCCTCGGGCACTGCACCTGCGCACCAGTCGGACAAACCTGTGCCGTACCGATGGAGAATCCCTGCTCTCACTTCAATACATGTGAGTTTTTCTTTACGTTTCAGAAACAACAAAAAAATTGGAAAACGTCTGATGTTTCCAAAATCATATCCAGTTTCTTGAGTAACTGCTTTTTGGCGTATCGTATTACCTGGATGTCTAACCTTCATCAACGAAGATATATTTGATACCTTGAATGTATTTCTAATATTCCTAGTCACATTATCAGGAACTTTCTTCCATTAAATTTTTAAGTGGTAGGCTATTGTATGAGATGCTAATGTTATTGTATTAATCCCTGCAATAAGTCTGTCAATCAACTTAAACCCAATCTCCGCTCACTCCAAATTTCTCAATTTTCGAATAGAATTAAAAATGTTTGCAACGTCTTTAATAATTATTTTAACAGTCAAAATCCAAACAACGAAAAAGACTAATTTGTTCTCAGTTATACTAACTGCGTCTTTCATTGTCTTCAGCTGATTCTGCATACTCCACAATCGAGGTGTACGACAGAACAGAATACAGACAGTGGACTGAGGCAGACCTGGAGTCTGATGCTGACTACACCTACTCGACATGCGCATTAGCAGCCAGCTGGAAGGAGGTTACTGTGGGAAGTTCCAGGCCGTACAGATATGAGTGGAGTGCAGGAATTCAGGTATTCCTTTTTAAAGGTCCAATTTTTATGCACTTGTGTCATCATGATGTTTGTTAGCTACTGATTTAGATAGATTTTAGCTCAACGTTCTTTTAAGGTGATCCCTGTTTAAAAAGTACAATCTCATGTGACTTTTACACAAACAGTAATTGTAGAGAAAAGCATCCTTTTTCTAATCATGTTATAACAACGTCATTGTACCATGTTTATATTGTCAACAAGACCAAGACATAACATGCCAGTGTGATTGGGCATATGGCTTTGCAAATGAGTAAGTAAATGAGTGAGTGAGAATGAATGAATGAATGAATGAAATTGTAGTTCTATGACTCAATTATAGTTCAATATCCAGATAATGTAACAAGGAAATTGAATTACTCTTTTTTGGTGATTTTAAAAACATCGTGACAATTCTCTTATAATAATTGTTTAGTGCAAACTTTTTCCCACCAATGGCTAGTAAAAGGAACATTTGATAAAAAATACAAATACAGGTGATACAGGTGATAATATTACATAATTAGCTAACTCCCAGACCTACTGGATTTGATGTCCTTTTTCAAACGGAGAAAGAGCATTTTTTCTGCAATTATCCATAGCCAATAACATTAAATTTCACGGCAAGATCATGGGTTTTACAGCACAGATTTTGTTTTCAAACTTTCTTTGAAAACTGTTTTAGTATATGCTGGGTTCATCCTAGAAGTGCTTTGTTTATAATCTAATGCTTATTAGGCTTTAATTTAGGTTTTGTCAGCTATAGATATCTGTATCTTTATCTGTATAGATGGTGTGATAGCCCTTTGGTCAAACAAACAGTTAATACTAGTCAACCTCCAAGGAGGCCAAGCCGTGTCAAGGATTAGATTTTTTGGTCAAGAAGGAGTCTTCTCTTCTGTGGGTCCAGTTATGTAGTGATTGTGGACACTCCAGAGAACAAACTATTTACACATAACTGTGCAGAGGTATGGGTCAACGTGCCAAACCATGGAAACAGGAAAACAACACAGTTGTGTTTAAGGTGTCAGTTACAATGCTGAGAATAACTGTCGGTGACAAACACAACAAGCTGGCTTTAGCCTGGTATTAAAGGATTATCCTACCTTGTAGACAACTTCCACGTTAAAGCAAAATCTCTGCAGTCCACAAACATCTGTTAACGCTTTTATAGGTAAAGTTTAGCTTTGTTATGTACTTCTTCTTTAAACTGGAAGCAGCTTAAAGTTCCTGGGGTTGAAAGTTAAAAAAAAATACATTTTTCCACATATATTCCAGGCATCTTTCGAATAGCCTGAAGAAAGATGGATCCTTAAAAAATAAGTATTTTGTCAACATGACCTGTCCTTTCAAACTAGTGATGAAATTTTACATCTTTGATCATCTTTGGTAATTAATATAAATAGGCCAAGTAGGGAATAATACACATAGACATACTGAGCATGCAAGTAGTATATATTACGACATTTCACACAAATAGACAGAACTATGAAAAAAATTATTGTCAATATCACCACCTGGCTAACTTAAGAATTACTTCACCTGAAGAAATCTCCAAGACTTACAGGAAGACCATACTGTAAACCCTTATCATCTACTTGTAGTACGGAATGTCACGCAAGTCTAAACTATGGCGGCACAAGAATAACACAGACTGTGTTTATGGTACAAGCAGGCACGAACACTCGGCATTCACCATGAACAATCCTGGTTTAAAGGCTTACTGTGGGTTGACGTCCTGCACATTCTGTCGACTAACTAAACACAGCCTGTCCATTTATACAGGTGACAGCATTGTTCACTGTTGGCACAGTATACATAAAGATCAGATCTTAATACGTTCTGCACAACCTCATGTCTAAAGAGGTATGGATTCTAATCTAAACCACAATTCTGTCTTTAAGACGTTCTGCGAAAACTGACGTCTAAAGATCTGAGGATTTGCTAACATAACTTGTAATGGTGTCAGGATTGTGGACACGCAATACTACATACTAGTAAGCAAAACAACAAGAAAAAGGTACATTTCCATGCTGGTACATTTGTATGAAAAACAGACTTTAGGAATTACTGTTTTTGTTCAGTGTTTCAAAGGGGAAAGGGAAACTGACAATAGCTCAAAGTAATATACCAGCCAGTGCAGTAGGCATGCTTTATCTGTAAATCACGTTTTATCACTATGCTCAGAAGCACTTTTACACCTCTACTAAGATTAGTTAAGACCTTCCAGCTGTATCTTTGAATCTGAACAGTGACCACAAACATAAGAGATAAAACTGTAGGTATATTTTGGCATGGCGGGTTCGAGGAATCTTACCCCAACAAACAGGAAAACCCGTTCTAAACTAATTTCCTACAGTTAATTTGAAAAATGAGCTTCAAATACATTTTGAAAAATTGACTGGTTAAAGATTAACTGTTAAGCTGTGTTTGGCTTCTGCTGACGACTTGTTGTGCAATGCAGCAAGCTACCTGTGGTGTGAGAGGCGATCAATCACAGCATCTCCACCTAAATTCTGGAAAGGTCCGGCTAGACACCTGCAAACTAAAAAAAAAAAAAAAACTTAGGGCCTATAGTCAGTGTACCATGGGTTTGGCATCCAAGCTAAAGTAGACAAGCAATATAAAGCCCGTAACTCTGCTGTGTAATAATCTGCTATAATCAACGAGACCAAGATAAAAACATGCTAGTGGGACTGGGTATGTGGCTGTCTAAATGTGAGAATAAATGAGTGATTGAGAATGAATGCATGAATACGTCGGTAATTGTAGTTATGATATACTACTAGTTACGTCAATTTTATATAGACATCCAGATAATGTAACAAGGGAATTGAATTACTCAAGCTTTTGTTGATTTTAAAAAAAATCGCTTGAGTGACAATTCCCTTGCGATACAATAGTTGTTTAGGTCAAACTCTTTTCCGCCAATGGCTAGTTCAAAAGAAACATTTAAAAACGGAATACAAAATATAGATGGCAATATTACATAATTAGGACTAAAAGCAAACTAAAAAAAAACGTGGCCTAGTGTGCCATGTGCCTGGCATCCAAGCTACAGTAGCCAAGATGAAAGCTCGTAAATATACCGTGTAATAATCTGCTATAATATGTTCCTGAAACAAATAACAAACAAACAAACAGCATTTTCTCCTTGTCAGGGAGAGAGTGTTGGAGCCGGACTGTTTGATCTCATCCATGATGACGTATGGCGGGACGTTTCCATGGAAACACACGCGATCCTAACCATGCCGAGCGGAGGTATGTTCAGTGTTATGATCTGAATGAGCTGGGTAGTCTATAACTATACCTATAGACTAGTTGTTACAAATAAACTTTCATACAAGTAAATTAGCATGCCACGAGTTTTAACTTAAATGTAAAGTTTTTTAAAAGTATAGTATAGTAGTATAGTAGTGTGTTAAAACACACTACTATACTACTATATTATACTATACTACACTATACTATAGACTCCGTGGAGTGGCTGTCAACACATACTATACTTAAGGGTTAATGACCCGCCCCGAGGTGAATATGGTGTGATAAAGCCTTGTCAGTTGCTATAACCACAGAAAAAAGCCACCAAGTGAGCGCAGCGAACGAGGTGACGTTATGAGGTGGTTATAGCAACTGACAAGGCTTTATCACACCATATTCACAGAGAAAGGGCGGGACAGTAACGTTATTATCGTACAGATTACACTATAGCCTATCCAGTTCCATCTGGAGTCACCTGAGGTCACTGGACAATAGTAATCATGACAAGTAAAATTCTTCAATATTATTTATTTCTTGTATCAAGTGATTTGTGCCTTTTTTGCTTTGTTTGTGACTGAACACTTCAAAGAGTCGCTTGAGGCCGGTGTTACCTACTCGTTCTACGTCCGGGTCTGGTATGACGACCACACCTACAGCGTGTTTCAGTCTGACGGCATCACACCTGACTACACCCCGCCGGCTGTCTCCACCTCAAGAAAGGTAAGCAGACCATCATCATCATCAGGTAAGCAGACCAATTCATCAAATCCTATCAAAATATTAAAATGACTCTAAGAAAGGGACATTACATGCATGACCCCACTTGCCTTTAGCTAGCCTGTAGCTAATGCTTTTCGCATTCCAGGTACATCTTATCGTGTTCGTTCAAGAATTAAGTTACATAGATTTTCTATAGCAAGCAAGAGAGGAAGCTTAACAATCAATCAATTCCATCAATCAATTTATTCAATCAAACAAAATCGTACAGAAGCGGGAAATGCAAATGCAAATGCACCCTGAATTATGTATTCAATTTTTACAATTGGTTAAAAAACAGAACAGGACAAGTACACAGAAACACACTATATACAAATATGTACAAACACAATTCAATCTACAACAGGAAATAGCAGATATAGCTTTTTAACAAAGATGATTGGTACATAGATGATGTATTCCTGGCTAATGTCGGCGATGTCACCTATCACATGTTAGTTTAGTATGCTTACTTTCTGGTGCAATGCAGTTTGGGTAATTTCAACGCGCAAGCTACGTTAAGCTGCTCTGCGTGCATTATTTTTTTTTGCATACAAAGTGACTTTCATAAAGTTTACAGCGGCCCAGCTTACTACTTTTGAAATACAATGTGTCCCGCCTTCATCAGCATGGGAGTAATACCTTTACATAATATCTGACTTACGGCTTGACTTCTAAAATAGCCTGTGATGAAGGCAAGAAGAATTAGTGATGTGCAAACTAGCTTTTTTGGCTACCCAGTAGGCAATCTGAGACATAAGTATTTCGAACCCTGCAATGTGTATGGTGATGTATTTAAAATGTTCACCTCCTCAAAAAGCATCAATGATAATTAATAACAATTTTGTTACAGATCAAGGACCTTTTGTCACCGGAAGAATCACACGATGTAGACTACATGGCTCAAACGACTTCACTAAGTACAAGCTACTCATCGGTGTTCTTTGATTCCGTCACTTCCGGTGACAGCAGCCACATGCAAAGGTTTGAGCTGGCACTTGGGACATATCCTGGAGGTATTTTGATTGTAGTTTTACTGGTAGCTAGCTAACTGATGATCATTTAATTTCAATTTGATCTTTGATATGTTTCTTATAATATGTATTCGCGGCGTTATATTGTTATTTTACAGTATTGTTTAACAAATACGGTAGAAATGGCATCCTTTATGTAACATGCCCACAGGTGAAGACGTTCAAAAGTTTGCAGAAAACCACGTTGATGGACTGACGACCAACTACACGTTTTCTGGACTTTCTCTGTCACCGACCAAAACCTACTACTCAACCGTGAGAGCTTTTAACTTGGCGGGTCTCCATATTACGTACCATTCTGATGGAGTCATGGTGGACACTGCGCCTCCTACAGCAGGAGTAGTACATGATGGAACAGGTATTCTCTGAATAATCTTCAACACATACGTCGCTTTCTTAGGCTGCACCTATTTGATTTCTTGGTAAACGAATTCGCCCGCTTCATTTTTTTTCTGATTTGCAAAAAAAAAAAAAACAGAATCAACTGCAAAATGCTTATACTTTTCCCTGCACAGTTGAAAACAGTCATTTCCTTACCAGTTGTTATAGTAATTCCATCTTTCAATGCAATGGTATCATTAAAAGTTCAAATTTTATTGTTTAAATTTTGAACCAGCCTGGTATGTTGACGTCATGACTCCTATTGTACCATTGTGGGCCATAATCACTGAGGATGCCTAGGCCTGTTTTTATCTTAATTTTTTTTTCGGCCGTCCGCTCCATTATTTTTCTAGAAAAATCCGTTAACCAAGAAAATACAATTGGTGTGGCCTTAACAGTACAAACGTAAATGCTGCTACCGCATCATTTTATGGACGTCGAATGAGTCAATGAACAGTTGCAGACGGGTGTGTTGCCATTTTTCAGGAGTACATGATGCAGATTATCAGTCATCTACCACCGAGCTGTCGGCGTTCTGGCACGGTTTCACCGACCTGGAGTCCGGAGTGCGGCGGTATCTGTGGTGTGTTGGACGGACTGGAGATCCGTCTGAGTGTAGCGTGAAAAACTGGATGGACAACGGGGCTTCTGAACGAGGAACAACCGATACAGAACCTGCTCTTGTTACAGGTGCATACTTTTGCAATACAGTTTTTCTCTAAATCGGATTAAATAATTCTTAACTATCTAAATACAGTAGCTAATAACCCTTCTTGATCGTTTTAGCCGCTATCGTATTGTATGGGATGGTGTATAATTTGCAGGATAACTATAGAAGCTGTCGGTGGATTATAATGATGGTAGGTGGAAGCGTCTTGATTGGACCTTTAAATGTTAAGGTTATGGCCTTGTTAAGGGAATTAAAACTGTCATGATCAGGACATGGTAAGATCACAGATTTTGTCACCAGGTTTAAAATACACGATCAACTGATATAATCAATGCAGGTCTTATTTTCAAAATCAACGAGAAACATTTATAATTGGATAGTCGAAAATGTTTGGCAAAAATACAAGATCGAGGAATTATTGCAACAATGATAAACATATATAAAACATGTTATTGCAGGAGAACGTTATTTTATCAAAGTCGTGGCCGAGGATGCTGCCGGAAACCGCTCGCCTGCCGCGGTGTCTGATGGGATAGTGATTGACAGCACGCCTCCGGTACCGGAAGCTGACCTGGTCTATGAAGACAACCTGCTGCTGAACCCTTCATTTGAGCTGGTCAGCGGATCAGCTGACATAAAAAGTAAGCTTAGGAGACGGGTATTTTTTTTTCACAACTGGTAAATTCTCACCTTGCTGACGTTTTGGTGTCTGTCAGACACCTTCTTCAGAGCTTTTGACTGGAGTACTGCATCTCGCCGCTATATGTAGCCGATGTAGGTGACGCTTTTGCGGCGAGAACACTGTCCCAAACGTGGTTTAGGTTGTACTCCCCCTCGTTCCGGTTCATTACAGGGGCTGACTTTCTGATCCAAACTGCCTTCTTGATTCAGCGGGTTGTTCTATTGTCTTCTCTGTCTATAACTTTTGCCTCCTCAACTATGCAGTTGTTTCTAGCAATGTGATCTGTCACTGCTGATTTCTTTTCTTTTTTGTAAGCTGTTAATATTAGAAATACATTTTCTTCTTCTGTCACAAAGGAAAGCACTTGGGCTTAGATATTACTTGTTACTTTTGCATACACTGTTTTGCTGCTGCAATCATGTTGTACTTTCCAGCCTGCCTGGTACTTTTAGAATTCCTTCGCACATTTTATTTTAAACATCAAAGATTTTGAGATAGACAAAACTGTTTCATTGCTCCCACTTGCTCGCTATGTCATTTTTTTTATAATTAACATTCATATTGCAACTTCTGAAAGTTGTCAGGTTATTTCGACTTTTTATGTAAAACTAATTGTAATCAAATGTTTATTTCATAAGCAAAATTCATAGGATTTCCACATCCAGGATCAGACAATGGTGTCTGTGAGGAAATAACGTGAAAACATCGTCACTTCACATCCGTCAATCCTATCACGTAGAAAATTTCTGTTATTGCAGGTTGGATTTCAAATAATGATTTTCATGAGGCTGTGCAAGTTTCACCAAGACCATGGGATGAGATCGCAGCCAAGGATGGGCAACATTATCTCATACTTCGTGGATCGATTTCACAAACAATAGATACAACACCAGGTAGTTTGTTTCCTTTAATGTGTTTGAGCTTGGTCATATTTTGACATAGCTGATTCGAATTTTATTGTATTGACATTTTTTTTCTATTCCAAAGATTGACATTGTGACGGCACGCTTTAATTATATAAACTTATTTTATGCCGTCACCAACGCAGTTGACAAATACAAGACAAGACAATTTTCACTTGAGAACGTTGTGTAGTATGCCCTTCTCAATGGCACAAGATTGTTGGCATGTCTGGACACTTCTTGGACCCGAGTCGAGCACTCTGCCGTTACGACACACGGCATTGTTGACAAATTTTGGCACTTGATAAATAATATTTCCTTTAGCCACAGAATCTAGCATGTTTTGTACACGCATATCAATTAAATGGGCAATTGGAACATGCGTAAGGATTTTATAGTCTAGTTTCCTATCAACAGAATTATTTTAGTGAAGATGTGACTGGTGAAATACAACACACTTTACCTGTGTGCACAAGTTGACAAACGTTAGTGTGTGCATGTTCCCGTCATCTTAGTATGACCAAAGTACTAAGTAGTATTCGGTACTAAATGTGGTCTATTTACCGTCAACAGGGCAGGAATACCGTGTTTCTTTCTGTGTAAACCACGACACGTTATCGGACGTACCCACACTGAACCAAGAAGGCACTGTTACGGCTCCAGGGATCGCCTCTGCATTCAAACTGAGAAATCGGCCCGCTTCATCGAATGACAGAGAAACAGCAATGAAAGAAGATCAGTCATCTTGGGACACTTGGCAGAGACAGGCGTTCTTCTTCACTGCAGTAGACAACTCTTCTGTCATCACTTTAGGTTCAGTGGGTAGAAAAGCAGGCATATCTGTAGACAATGTTAAGGTACGTCTTATATTTATGCCACAAACGACCTAACTGATAGGTAAACCACTTTCTCTTTTTCAATGCTGAGAATGTAATGTTCACTTGAAATAAAATACGTAAAATACCCAATTTTGACTTATTTAATCGAATTGAAAACAGTTGTAATATCTGCTCATCTAGGTTCAGGCGATGACGTATCGTGGCAGTCGGTACAACAGCACCGCTCGTTACTATGGAGACGTTGAGATATCTTGTCAGCTCCTTTCTGATTGGAGCACAGTGGTGGCGAAGTGGAGCATGGTGGATCCGGAGTCACCCATTGTTGACTACTCGTGGGCAATCGGCAAAGTTAGAGGTAGATACTACACTATAACGATAATGTATTACTTCTTATGTATTCAAACATTTTTTGTTGATTCCCTTAACCGGTAAATCGCCCATTTAGGCATAACACAGCAGTTTTGTACATGTAAGGACAAGCTGCGTAAGACTGGACTGTAAGGTTTAAACCACTTGAACCGGGAAGGTCCCCTACTCATTTCGATAAGTGCGGTGCATTCTTTAACGTGCGTGGGGTGTGGCTCTCCCCAAACACGGGACCTCCAGTTTACGTCCTATCCGAGGGACGTCCCTAGCCAAAGGTAGGTACTCATTTACACCTGAGTGAAGTGAGTAAGTCGTGTTAATGATTAAAACCGTAGGTCTTTCGAGAGCGCAGGGAACTAGCTTAAACGCATTACGCCATGGTCACAAACGTCATAGGCCATCGTACTCTGCGCTAGGAAGAGCACGTGGTTGAGTTGCAGATAAATCACAGACAAAAGTAACTATCGCTGAGCATCGTGTAATTGAAAAGAAAAGATGAAAATTTTTGACATGTTCATTTCTAGAGCCCCTATAGCAGTACGAACCACCTACGGCAATGTTCAACATTTTTGACAGTATCTTTAATATGAATACAGACGACATCTTGAAGTCTGCGCAATGCTGTACCCTGTACAGCTGAAAACGTCCAGACAGCACGCAAAGACGTCTTGATTTTTTTTCTTTTCTTGATGTAAAGAACGGAGATTAAGATATACACATGGGTGTTTTATGATTAGATCTTATCCCTTATTATCCCTTATTATCCCTTAGATCTTATCGTCAGTAAGTCAAGAGGGCATCTTACTTTTTATGGCTTCCAGAAAAAAAAAACATGTCCCCAGCAAGGTGAATGGAGGGTTGTTCAGGGTGTTAGAATAGGGCAAAACGCCCCAGGACCCTGGAGATTAACTAAACAATACATGGCGAGTGCTAAAAATGTACGGTTTTACATTGACTATGCTACTACCATTGGTGATTGAACTAGTTAGCCATTAAAAATGCACCACACATCATAAGTACGTGGCCGTGGGTTACTGATCGTCATTTGTACCCCAGGTGGAACTCAGCTGCAAGGCTTTACGTCTGTAGGACAGACGCGCAGTGCACGTCGGTCCGACCTGCCCCTTCAACACGGCTCCTACATACACGTCACCGTGGTGGCCACTAACGCTGCTGGACTCAGATCAGGTGGGCGGGTTCGGTTTGTGTCGACGGAGAAATCGCCTTTTCCGAAAGAACAAGGATTAGCACTTCCTTCTCTTAATTCCTTTACCCAGTGCATAGATTTTAATTCAAAAATATAGGCAAACCAAACATTAAGAAAAGTATACCCTTGAAAGCATGAAAGTTTATCTGTTTTTATACAAGTCATTATGAAATAAAGACTAAGCTTTACCTTCCAACACTAACTCCAAAGAGTTGGGACCCTACATTTTCGGTTGACTCCATTAACTTTGTTTACGGAATGGACCCGTCTACTCTTAAAACTTGACGCCAGGGACACGTGACCGTAGTAGCGACCATACGTGCCAGATAACTTGTGTCGCCCCCCGTCTCTGTTCAGGGTAGGTCTGTGAGCTATTATGTAGACCGCCTCCTTCACTCCTCTTCCAAACCTTAAATAGTCTAGAACATTGACCAGAAATTTCCTACACTTAGACGTTTTAACTAAACCTAAATTGCAGTGATCAGAAGTAATTATTTTTCTCTTACCAATATTTTCACAACTGCATTCTTCTCATCTTTCAGTCATGTACTCGGACCCCGCTGTGGTTGATCTAACGCCCCCGGTGATTGGTTCCGTCATGGATGGAGCCGACAACACTTCCGTTGATGTTGACTATCAGATGAGTGACGTCATATCCGGGGCGTGGCCAGACGTCATGGATGATGAGAGTGGTATAGAATCATGTGAATGGGCTCTGGGTGAGTTTTTAAAATCTCTTTATTAATCGTCGTCGTCACCACTACCTCGCCCCCAATAAAATGACTTATCTTTTTTTTTTTTAAGATATATTCTGACATCACAAGACGTGGTGACGGCACACTCAATTTTTTTTCAACTTATATTAATTCCGCCACCAACACAGGCCGGGGACAATACAATACTCATTTTCACCTTAGCGAAGTATGGAAAGTCGTGGAAAGTGCCTCTCCCAAGGGCACAAGATCTGGGGCATGTCAGGACTCGAACCCGGGACCTCTTGATTCCGAGTCAAGCACTCTGCCGCTACGCCACACGACTAACAATGTCTATGTATACTGTAAAAAGCGATAACGCATCACAGTTTAGTATAACTTGAAAGAAATAAATTATTTCTATTATTTCTATATCATTTCAAATAATATCTGAGGTAGTGAGTTGTTCAGACGAAATCTAACCACCTCTTGTGTCACCATACCCCAACACCTAATTTGGCGTACACGTACATGTATCTGTTATTTGGAACAAGGAAAAGTTCCGTGGTAACAAATTTGCAGATGCAGGATTTTCTTCTTTACAACTTAACACGCCATGTTTTAACTATAAACTCAGAACCTTCCCTCAAATACCAGCCGAAACTGGAGATCAGGAGCAGTCTGTACAGACCTAGGCCACGCCTAAGCTTACATTCTAGACGAATCAAATATAATCTGAGTCAAATTTGACAGCCGACAGAGCCCAACCTACGCCACTAAAATATCAGCCAGCCACCAGCCAAGCATGACTGAACCTCCTATCCACACCCGAATGCTGTTAGCATTTTGCAACATCCGAATGACGCAGCCGAACCCAGCCGACTTTCCTGTTCTGGAGATAAGTTTTAAACGCATCCAGTGCAGTTTTTAGGGCTTGGAAATACGATTTTTCAAAGTCAATATTCCAGTTACTTATCTACATACTGAGTTCAAACTACACTATTCCGATGTATATTGACCCTCATGGAGCAAAACTACTCAAATTCTGACGGAAAATGGTCACTGGAAGGGCCCTCGGCTGATTTTAGGGGACCTCCCATAAAATAAAGGACTCATCTTGGGGCTTGTTTGTCCAGTTTTAAGTACCAAAAGTATGAAGTACTGATTTTAAATGTGCTAATGTGAAGCAGTGTCAATATAATAAATACATGTATTACCTTATTCAGAATATTTCCAGTTTTGCTGCTCTGAAATCTTATTGGATGTCTTTTTGGATCCCGGGTTTGCAGGATACAGGCGGGGCATAGCAGACCTGACGGAGTTCATGCCGGCTGAAGGACAGAAGAGATCCGCCTCTCTGGACACTCTCGGAATCCTGAGGCAAGGACAGAAGGTGTACTTTATCGTCCGATGTCACAACAAGGCCGGCCAGGTACGAGAACTACTGACAATTTTCTTAACAACACTTATTTTCCATATCCTGTTTTTTACTGGCATAACTACGACCTAACACATAAAAGTCCTCTTATTCTCTTTCATATGATATACAGCTGATCTTCGAATGAGTGCTTTTAAAAACAATTGTTGGTTTATTTGTTTCAGTCGGGTCTCCATTAGTGACTGGCTAAATATTTTCCAGGATTCCGTAGTCAATCACAAACTTTTTTTTTTCATTCAGCATACAGTTAACAAAATTAGGCTACAGGACACAGTGACGACGGGCTCAAGTTTCAAAACTTATGTTAGCGCCGCCACTTATACGAATAAAACTAATAAATATTACTAGACAATGCAAAACACTAACGAAGAATACATGTGAAAGAAAAACACAGTCGAATTGATGAAGCGAGAGTCCACAATCCCCACCCAAGATGAAAAGGACAAAAATAGAATTAAAAACGTTTTGTTGCTAAATGTAATTTTGGGTGGTTGACATAATGTTACAGTTAACTCGAAAAAAATAAACCGGGGAACCGTTCAAAATTAAGAGTTGTTTCGCTCTATCTGAAAGGGTGTTTAAGTTAACAGTGTCCTAAGATCCCAGAAATCACAAACTTCAATATTAGTAGACCTCAATTTAACGTTCTATTGCAGAAAGGTCCCTAACTAAATAAAGCTAAATATTAATTCTTTTTTCCTAAATGAAGTCGTGTAAATGGCTTTTAACAAGAGAACACCATCGAGTCTTGTTGGTTGATTCAAATTTTGGACCTATTGGTTCTGAGCCAAACATTAAACCGTTACGCCATACGATGTCTCTTATGTCTACTTTTCCATAAAACTGTTCACAACACTTTGTGACATTTCCACAGTCATCAACGGCATCTTCTGACGGAGTGACAGTCGTCAGGGACCCGCCCGGGGTAGACCACGCCTCCCTGGAGATTCTATCGGAGCCTGTGACGCACTTCCGGCCAAGAAACCATGAGCAGTACCGACCGGACGAGATAAAAATCCGCTGGGACGGATTTGAAGACGAGTCTGGCATTTCACATTATCAGGTATAGAATTCTGAAAATGCATCATTGTAGATCATTTGTATAAAGAGAAATGAATTAAAAAAGTCATAATTCGGTCTAAGTTGGTTAAGGGCTTCCTTTTTTTTCATTCCAAACTTTTTTTCTTCTGGGCAAACGTTTTATACGGTGTAACGTGATCGTAAAACAAGAATTTTCTTGTTTTTATAGTACATGTTGGAAGGGACAGACCTGTCCACACAATGGATTGACATCCCGTGGAAGACTCAGAACACTGCTAAGCTGACCGGCCTCCAGTTTGTACCGGGAGAGATGTACACATTAAACCTCAGGGCCGTCAACTTTGCCGGCTTGTCCAGTCAGTATATCTCAAGGGAGATTGTCATTGTAGAGTCGGCTCCGAGTATCCGAGGTAAGAATTTCTATGGTAAAGTTTCTTCTCTTCCCGTGTCTTTACGTGTAAAATTTAAACTTTACTGATGGATTATGAAAGTTGAAGCGGTTTGCACATTTGTTTTTCACGTCAAAGATGTTTGCTTATAATATAATTGCAGGTGAAATCGCCATAACCTGGCCATCAAGTGACACGTTTCATCTGAACTGGGAGGGAAGCTTCGAACCATTTAATCCAAGTAAGTGTGCTACAATTTTAAAGCCCTAGCATTCTCAGCCATATTATTCACAAGTGATAAAACTTGAGCTGTGAAACATATGTGACGCCTTCTCATAGGTTTTTTTCCCCCAACCCTTTTTTTTCCAACCCTGTAGGTCTGTTTTAGGCCTGACCGAGGGCGGCGTGGTGTGTTCTACTGGGTAGAGACTACAGAACACCTTGTTTTAGTTTTTTTTCAAACCTGAAGGTTTGTTTTATGAGATCTCTGTAGGCCTGGCCTAAGGGCGGCGGAGGTGTGTTCTACTAGGTAGAGACTACAGAACACCTTGTTATAGTTTGTTTTTTTCCAACCCTGTAGGTCTGTTTTAGGCCTGACCGAGGGCGGTGGTGGTGTGTTCTACTGGGTGGAGACTAGAGAACACCTTGTTACCTTCGCCAAGAAGGTTATGTTTTCAGGGGCGTTCGTGTATGTGTGTGTGTGTGTGTGTGTGTGTGTCAACACGATAACTTGAGAAGGCCTTGATGGATTGTCTTGATACTTGGTAGATGGGTAGGTTTTGATGAGACCTCAAAATGATTAGATTTTGGACCCCCTAGCGGCTTGTTATGGTACTGCAGCTGAACTTCCGGTTTTGATATCTCAAGATCCAGACATGCTATGGTGATGAAATTTAGATGGTAGGTAGCTCTTGTGCTGGGAAAGAAGTGACGTGAGTTTAGGCCCCCTATCGGCTTGCTCTAGAACTGCAGGGGGGTTTAAAGGACAAATGTTTAAAAGAGGATAACTCAAGAACCGATTGATGGATCATCATGATTTTTGGTATGTAGGTAGCTCAAGTGACGCTTGACATAATGATATTACAATTATGCGAATATCGATTAATTTGCATAATTAATGAGGAAATTCTATAAATCATCTGCATTCCATGATAGGAAGTTCAAGCTTGTAACATATGTTATTAAGAACGAGAGAAACACAGGCAAATATTGATTATGCAAATGAAGACTTAATTTGCATAATTAATGAGAAAATGTTATAATTGCGTAGTGGTAACTGCCTGGAATTTCATACTTTGGGTGTTTGAAAGTTAAGTGAAGGTGAACAGAATTAAACATAACTTATTTAAATAAGGACCACATTTGCATAATTTATGAGAAAATGGCATTCTTTGTTAAGATAAGACTATCTTTTGGTGAAGAATATGTCTTTGATCAACAGACTGATATAATTCATGCAATTGAGGATCCTATTTGCATAATCAGGGTGATAAGTATATTTCTCATTCATAAAGGCTAACATCATTTGGCGAAGGCATGAGATCGTGGAACTCTAGTTATAGTTTTTTTTCCAACCCTGTAGGTCTGTTTTAGGCCTGACCGAGGGCGGTGGTGGTGTGTTCTACTGGATGGAGACTACAGAACACCTTGTTATAGTTTTTTTTCCAACTCTGTAGGTCTGTTTTATGGGGTGTCCGTAGGCCTTACCGAGGGCGGCGGTGGTGTGTTCTACTGGGTAGAGACTACAGAATATACCTTGTTTTAGTTTTCCTTATTTTCCAACCCTATAGGTCTGTTTTATGAGGTGTCCGTAGGCCTGACCGAGGGCGGTGGTGGTGTGTTCTACTGGGTGGAGACTACAGAACACCTTTAAGTTGTTTTAGTTTTCTTTTCATTTTTCCAACCCTGTACTGTAGGTCTGTTTTATGAGGTGTCCGTAGGCCTGACCGAGGGCGGTGGTGGTGTGTTCTACTGGGTAGAGACTACAGAACACCTTCAAGTTGTTTTAGTTTTCTTTTCATTTTTCCAACCCTGTAGGTCTGTTTTATGAGGTGTCCGTAGGCCTGACCGAGGGCGGCGGTGGTGTGTTCTACTGGGTAGAGACTACAGAGACTCACCTGTCTGTGTCTGGGATAGATCACGACAAGGTTGGTTTTGTAAAAAAAACTCACTTGCTCCATTGTCCTGAAGATGTGAAATATTAATAAATAAGCGCTAGGCGATTTCAATGGCATCTGCTACATAATAAAAACGTGTTTTCTTTCTTCATTACCCTGTCCTGAGCACAACCTGTGTATTACTAAGGTAATCTTAGTATCCTAATTAGTTGATATGGAAGTTTGCTATTAGTGCAGCAAAGTTTTGCAATATGCAACGTACATAAAATGAAGACACCAACGCAATTCAATTTTTTCATGCCTGCAATCTTGTATGCTTAAAAAGATGTCGATTGCATTTAAACGTATTTGTTTCTCTTTTACAGGAATACTTCGTGTCCATTAACGCCATCAATGGTGCAGGGATGTACACAACAGCAAAGACGGTCGTCAGTTACAGCCGCTGATCAGGAGATACTTTTTCCGCTTCAGCTTAAAAACGTTAAAGAGTACAGTGATCCATTTTGTTATTTTTATCTTGAAAGTAGGTTATATGTCTATCATATAAAGCATATTAATCAGATTATTAAATAAAAAAACTTTCGTCAATCTTAATGTCGCTTACTTTGAAATGTCATAGTCAAAACTAGCATTACTCATTTGTTTAAGTTTACATGTGTTTACGGTAGATATATTTATGGGTTCACCACACCACGAAGTGGTGGTGAACCCATTTTGCTTTTTCTGATGTTTCTTCTCCTCCTTCTTCTCCTTCTCCTGCCACTTCTTTAAATTGATTCAACTCCTTCATTTTTGGGCGAAATTACCTGTAATTTCGTATAGAGGTAGAGTGGGTGAATACCCTTACGCGTTTTTTTTAATTTTTTTGATACAAGCTTTTACAATCGTTTTATTTGCTTTTTAGTGGTCCCCATATGAAAGTACTGTGGGGGCGTACGCGCGTGACGTAATAAGAGAGGAATTCGGGGGAAGGCCCAAATATGGGCATACAAGCAGGTGTGGTCATGTTTGCAGATGTGGCTGTTGATTGGCTGTTGGCTAATTAATTTATTTACTACCATTTTCACGTACCAGCGCAGCTGGTCCACGCCGTCTCGGCCGTGGGCCATGATACTCTGGTACTGGAAACCGATTCGTGTGATTCCTATAAACATTTCACCTAACTACGAACTAGTTGGAAGAATTATAGCTGCATGGATGCCTGTATATGATTTTAACAAACACTGAAAATCTGACGCAAAAACTGGCAGATATTTTGCTCTTCTCTGTTGGAACAACGCAAGCGGGAGGTCAATGACCTGCGCCCCGCGAGTACTGTAAACAACGGTACGTAATGTGTATCGTCGGCGCACGCGCGCGCGCCACGGTATCAACAATTTTCCACAATCTTCACCGACTAGTATTATATATTCTGTTATCGATTTCTGAAGAATCACCAAAATTGTAGAGTGTATCTCCTAGAAAGTCCCTTACTAGTACTTGAAGCGATCGTTACCGCCACGCTGTTCACTTTATATGACATACAATGCAGAGAGTAATGGAAACGTGTCCAGATAGCTCGGTTGGTAACGCGCAGGGCTGCAAGTCCAGACATTACGAGTTCGAACTCCGGTACACTGGATATTTTTAATTATCCTTTTTACAATTTTTAACAATTATAACATTTTTAACAATTTCAACAATTTCAACAATTTTAACCATTTTACATTTTAACAATTTCAACATTTAATTTTAACATTTTCGTTTTAATATCCATTGCTTTGCTTTTAACATTCCAAAACTGATTGTTCTTACTCAAGAATTTCAATAACTTCGAATGTTAGTCTTTTGTATTTTTTCAACATACAAACCAAAATCACTTTGATGTTGTCACAAAAGTAACATCTGTGCGCGCACCGGTTTTCGTTCATTTAAAAACTACAAGTACAAAACATCTGGAAACTAAGCAAACATACTCAGTAAATTGATTGCTGTTAATTCCCGATTTTTTTTCACTGTACCGCAACGCAAGCGGGGGGTCAATGTTCACGGTTTTCACTGTCACCTCTGTATTGTGAACTTATCATTACAGTTAGGAAATAATTCCTGGACTTTCTTTTTCCTGCAACTGTCACCACCGTGAATATATACTTCCGTGAACATGTCCATTTTTCTCAGGCCGTGAAAATTTTGCTTCCGTTAGTAGTAGTTACAATCTCGTCAAAAGTGTAAAGTAAAGCTGTCGAGATTTAAAGTGCGTGTCGTTGTATCTTTGTAAAAAAAATGAGATAATTGCCAAGTGCCAGTTTTGTAAATACCTGTCGAGATTCAAACAGCTTGTCCTTGTATAATTGCAGTATGATTTATTTAGAATCTCTCATTTTTGTTTGGGGAAGGGTATGGAGTGAAATTCCTACATTTGCTCCGAAGCAAATGTTGGCCTTTCTAGTTTAAACGGATTCAGCTTCTTCATTTTAGGGCCTAAGGTCCTAAAATTTGGTATGGAGGTACAGTGGGCAAATACCCCTAGGCGTTTTTTAAATTTTTGTGATACAGGCTTTTAGAATGGTTTTATTTGAGTTTTTTGGCTGTGTTATAGCAAATGTATTACTGTGTTAGTGTGCCGTGTTTACCAGTCTGGGCATGAGTCATCACAATGGAATGCAGGGCATCAACCAATAGGCATGCAGCTTTCCTCTATACTTCTTGCTGATTGGCTGTTGGGATTTAACTTGATTAACACCTGCACAGAGCATTTCCACCTGCACCGAGCATTTCTTGCTGATTGGCTGTTGGGATTTAACTTCATTAACACCTGCACAGAGCATTTCCATACTGACAGTATGTCTTTATTCAAGTGTTTTGGTAGGTATTTCAAGCTTTTCTGCTCCAGCATTGGAATGCGGGGCATGAACGTTTTTTTTTGAAAATCAACAGTTTGCATTATGCAATTAAAAATCCTAACCAATAAAGTAGGGAATAGCTATCCAACT